GAGAGAGAGAGAAAGAGAGAGAGAGAGAGAGAGAGAGAGAGAGAGAGAGAGAGAGAGAGAGAGAGAGAGAGAGAGAGAGAGAGAGAGAGAGAGAGAGAGAGAGAGAGAGAGAGAGAGAGAGAGAGAGAGACGGAAAGAACGAGACCCCACCGGCTAACCTAAGGGAAATGTCTGTCCCGGAATGAATGTGAATGTCTAGTGAATAGCAATGAGCATACACTTTCCGGGAAAACAACGGTGGAGGTGTTGAATAATTGACAAGGGTTTAGCCGAGGAATAACAACTGTCTGTCCTGCAGTGAGTGAGTGGGAGAGAGAAAGAGGGAGGGGCTTGCTTATCAGGCTCAATGTTATTTTGGATCATTTTCTTTATTTCTTTAGTGCGGGTCTTAAAATATGTATAAGTTAAAGAAGAAGGAAGGAGAGGAAGGAGGGGAGGGAGGGAGGGAGGGAGGAGGAGGAAAGAAAGAAGGAATTAAGAGAGGGAAGGGAGGGAGAGAGGGAGGAAGGATGGAGGAGGGAGGAGGGAGGGGAGGAGGGAGGGGAGAGGAAGAAAGAGAGAAAGAGAGTGGGGGATACATATATAGAAACAGATAGATAGAGATAGATAGATAGACATATAGATAGACAGAAGGGAGAGAGAGAGGGAGAGAGATTATCACAAAATTTCAGACATACAGGTAACCGGAGACTATACTATATGAATTAATTAAAGCCAAAGAGTAATGATGATGACAACAAAAATAGAAATAACAAAAATGATTACAATAATAGTGATAATGATAACAAAAAAGATATTGATAATAGCATTAACATCAATAATAACAATAAGAAAAATTAAGAAATAATAACAATAATCAGTCAATAAATTATTCATACTAATAACCAAAACATGAAAGAACAAATGTATAATAAGGAGAACCGCATTTCTCTCCCATTCAGTACATGACTTAAAAGTAGCAATATGCATTACGACTCGTTGTTATTCAATAATATAAAAGTGTAGTTAATGATTACAATCGCAGTGAGGCTGACAATAGAGAGATAAAGAGGTAACAATAAACCGTGAAAAGAATATAACAAAAAGAACATACAACAATAACAAAAAAAGAACGTTTGACATTCGCATCGAACCACTCTCAAGATTAATAGGACCAAATTTCCCCCTAAAAAGAAAAAAAAATAATAAAATCAGAGACAAACTTCTGGGTTTGAAAACTGAGATGTATCGCACTGGCGGAACTTTCCCTCTTTTTGGGAAAATTTGCATAGATCCTATAAATTTTAAAACATCTGATGCTGACTCAGACCTGATCCGTAAATAGACCGTTGTAAGAAGACTATCGGAAGTTAAGAATTCTTACGTGAAGCAAAACGCAAGTGATTTAACAGCAATGACAACAGAACTAAAATGTGAAAAATAACAAGAGTATGAATACACGCACCTAGGGTCTTCACCTCTCTACATCTCACATAAAATCAGTCAACTAATCAATCATCCAGTAAAAAAAAAAATAATAATGATGATGATAATAACAATAATTATTAATAATAAAGTAATACAATAATGATAACAATAATGATAATGATAATGTAATAATAATAATAATATAATAATAATATATAATATAAATAATATAATAATAATAATAATAATAATAATAATAATAATAATAATAATAATAATATCAATAATACAAGATAACAATAAACAATAGTAAAAAATATGTATATGATGATAATGATGAAAAATAAACAATGACACAAACACAACCAGCGCACCCAACTTACCTCCATATACAACAACTAAATATTCCTTAACACCCTTATCAATTGACGCCTCCTATGTAAAGCAACATTCCTTATCAGACCTTGCAACCAACGCACCTAACGTAATTCAAAATACAAAAACCCAAACATTCCTCATCGTTCTTATCAACCAGCGCTTCCTATGTAGAGCAACATGCAACAACCCACATTCCTTATCACCCTTATCAACCAACGCCTCCCAAGACACACACACGAGTCGCCATCACACTTACTCTTGGAGCAGTCGACGCCGATCCAGCCCTGGACGCACTCGCAACGACCCAGGACGCACGACCCGTGGCTGCTGCAGTCGTTGGGACACGCCGACTGCAGCTCCGGAGCCTCGCCTAGATAGAGCTCCACCTGGGAAGATAGAGGGCATGGGTTAGAGCTTTGGTCTGGTAGATGAGTTATTGTACAAAAAAAAAAACTCTGGAAGTCCATAGAGCTCTATTTGGGAAGATAGAGGGCATGTGTTAGAGTTTTGAGTTGGGGGATGGGTTATTGCCTACCCCCCCCCATTAAAAAGATATCTGTAAGTTGATAGAGCTTCACCTTGGAAGCTTGATGAGTTGATTAGAGCTTTAATCTGGTGGATGAGTTACTACCTCCCCCGGAAGTCGATAGAGCTTGAACTAAGGAGATATAGGACCTGGGATAGAGCTTTGGTCTGGTGCAGTAGTTCTCGTCCCAAAAAAGGAGCTCTGAAAGTCGACAGAGTTCCGCCTGAGTAGGATAGAACACATGACACAGAGCTTTGATCTGGTTGATGACTTAATAAAGCACAAAATGGCAGTGGACAGAGCTCAACCTAAGGAAATTAGAGCTTTGGTCTAGTGGATGACTTAGTTGATGAGTTATTTATTGTAAAAAAAGACCTCTTAAACCCGAAGTAGCTCTACCCAAAGAAATAGCACACTTAAATGAGAGCTTTGGCCTGGTTAATAATTCAGTCAATTAAATAAAACAGAGAGGAAACAGTCTTATGAACGATGTCATTAGGGTAATGTTTGAACAAAAATAAAATAAATAGACAGTGATTCAGGAGTCTCGTATAGATAAGAGTTTTCCCGAGGAACTAAAAAAGTTAGAGTTTATACTCTGTTGATGGTTTAGCTGAATTACTTTGGAAAACATCATCTTTTCCCCATCAATGATATCTATTTATTCTCTGTATATAATGCAGTCAGTTTGATCAATCAAGCCAATTTCTCTTAGGAACCACAAACAATAATAATAATAAAATAATAATAATAATAAATAATATAATAATAATAATAATAATAATAATAATAATAATAATAATAATAATAATAATAATAATAATAATAATAATAATAATAATAATAATAATAAATAATAATAATAATAATATAATAATAATAATAATAATGTAATAATATGATGAGTGATGAGGATGATGATGATGATGATATAATGATGTGGTATTCTTCTTTCCAATGTCATTGTTATCTTTCTCATCAATATATCGTTATCTGTCCCCACCCCATTCTCTCTCTCTCTCTCTCTCTCTCTCTCTCTCTCTCTCTCTCTCTCTCTCTCTCTCTCTCTCTCTCTCTCTCTCTCTCTCTCTCTCTCTCTCTATCTAATCTATCTATCTATCTATATATCTCCTTCCTCTCCCTTCTCTTTCTCCCACTTTCTTCTCTCCTACCTCTCATACCCCTCCATCCTCCCCCTTCCCTTCCCTCCGGGCTCTCTAGCCTGGAACCCACACAGCCCCAGATCTTTTTAAAGTTTTAATGCTATTCCCTGCCCCAAGAACAAAAAAAGAGTCTACTCCTTATTACGCGAATAATTTTCTCCCGATAAGGATCCCTAGGGGCGCGTCCAAGCCCCCGGAGGAGAGCAAGACAGGAGGACTTGAAGTTTGTCCTCAACCGCGCGTAACTCCAGGACGAGGACTTGGATGCGTCTCTCGCCCGTGATAATTCGCCTCTCGCATACGGCATACAAACGTTCATACATATATATATAGGTCCCCTCTGTGTTTGTGTGTGTGTTTGTTGTTTGTTTGCGCGCGCGCGCGTGCGTGTGTGTGTGTGTGTGTGTGTGTGTGTGTGTGTGTGTGTGTGTGTGTGTGTGTGTGTGTGTGTGTGCGTGTGTGCGTGTGCGTGTGCGTGTGTGTGTGTGTGTGTGGCGTGTGCGTGTGCGTGTGTGTGTGCGTGTGCGTGTGCGTGTGTGCGTGTGAATCATACCCTCGTTTCCCTTTTTTTTTGGGGGGCGGGGGGGGGGGGGTGGAGGGGAGGGTGAACCGACGAGCGAAATTAAATAGTTTGTGGTTCGTTATTAAAAGACCTAAAGGCTGGAATATACACTGAGGCTCATAAACCAGCCGACTGGGCATGCAAATCAAAACCACTGCGATTTAATGTGAGTTGGTGTGAGTGAGTGAGGGAGAAGTGAGATGAGGGAGACCTGTGAGTGAGTGAGGGAGATTGTGAGTGAGTGGAGGGAGTGTGAGTGAGTGAGGATTGTGAGTGAGATGAGGGAGCGTGAGTGAGTGAGGGAGACTGTGAGTGAGGTAAGGGGAGACTGTGAGTGAGTGAGTGAGTGAGGGAGGGTAAGTGAGGGGTGTGAGTGAGGAGGGAGACTGTGAGGGAGAGTGTGAGTGAGTGAGGGAGCGTGTGAGTGAGGAAGGGAGACTGTGAGTGAGGGAGACTGTGAGTGAGTGAGGGAGACTGTGAGTGAGGGAAGGAGACTGTGAGTGAGGGAGGGAGCGTGTGAGTGAGGTGTGATTGAGTGAGGGAGACTGTGAGGGAGGTGTGAGTGAGTGAGACTATGGATGAGGTGTGAGTGAGTATGAGTGGATGAATGAGTGAGTGTAAAGAAGGATGAGGGCTGTAAGGGAGAATGAGTGGGTGTAAGAGAGTATGAGTGAATATAAGGGTGTATAAGTGAGTAAGTGCAAACGAAAGTGAGTGAATATGTATGTGAGTGAGTGAAAATAAAATAAAAGTAACTATAAAAATAGTGATGAATGAAAACGAAAAAAACAGAATGAATGAATGAACGAACGAGAATGAAAACAAAATGAACGAACGAACAAGAATGAAAGCAGAAAGAATAATTGAACGAAAAAAAATGAAAACAGATGTATGAATGGACGAAACAAGAATGAAAAGAGAATGAATGAGTGAACGAACGAGAATGAAAACAGAAAGAATGAATGAACGAACGAGAATGAAAACGACGAACGAACGAACGAACAAGAATAAAATCACAATAAACGAATAAAAACAAACAAGAAATAAAAAACAAAAAAGAACAAACAAAAAAAACACCCCACAAAACAAAACAAAACGACCCGAACAAACACAAAACAAACACAAAACAAACACAGTCCCCACTCACCTCCGCCACGCTGATCCCGTCATTGTAAATAGCCAGGTACCAAGTCCCAGTGTCCAGGTACTCCACGAGGCTCAAGTTGACGCTGTGGTCGTGGATGTAGCGTCGAGGGCGAGAGAGAGAGGGCAAGGCCAGCGGTTCCTCGATCACCTCGTTCTCCCGTTCTTCAGGCTGCGAGGAAGAACGAAAAGGGTGGTTAATAAGGGTGGGATGTGGTTGGGTTTGTTTGTTTGATGTTTACTTGTTTTGTTGTTTTTGTTTGTTGTTGTTTGTGGTTGTTTTGGTGTTTGCTTGTTTTGTTGTTTGTTGCTTGGTTGGTTGTTGTTGTTTGTTTTTGTTGTTGTCATTTACTTGTTTTTTGCTTTTGTTGATGTTTCTGTAGTTGTTGTTTGTTTGGTTTGTTGTTATTTATTTGTTTTTGTTGCTTTTTCTGTTTGTTTGCTTCTGTTTGTTGTTGTTCTATGTTCGTTTTAGTTTGTTTTGTGGTTGCATTTGTGTTTGTTAGTTGTTATTATATTTGTTTGTTTGTTGTTGCTATTTGTTGCCTGTTTAATTTTGTTTGTTGTTGCTGTTGTAGTTGTTTGTTTTTTGAGAGGGGGGGCGACAAAGATCCCCTGTGTGTTGTGTGTGATAGAGGGACTGATAGCGAGATAGATAAAGAGATAGAATATGTGATACATTGTGGGGGAAAAATAATAAATAAATAGATAGATAGATGATATACATTCATAGATAGAGAGATACACAGATAAGCAGATATAAGTAGAAGGATGGAAAAAAACTGTTAGATAGATATATAAATAAAGTCATATAAGCAGATTGCCAAGAAGATTCTTTCGCATATACAGATATATTGTACGTTGGATATACCTTTCATATATCAGATATACCAGATACATTACCTGCATATGAAAAATATCTTACATATGATACGACATAAACTAAATATATCCCTTATATACCAGGTATACCATAAATATATATGAATAGTGGTATACCATTCCTATGCAAGTGGTATTTATGGCAGATATACTAAATGTGACAGATACATCACTTATATACCGGGCTATACCACTCAAGTTGATGAACCAGATAAACCGTCCACCTGCCTATCAGAGACACTTAAAAAACGACACAAAAGCGACACACTTGACACGACCTACCTCACTTCCGTCGTCCGTCTTGGCCAGGTCGTCGAGGTCGTCCTTGAGAGCGTCTTGGAGGCCGAGCTTGAGGTCGAGGTGGTGGTCGTGCAGGAACGGGTAGACTTCGATGACGTCCTGGAGGCTCGGGGTCGGTGACGTCACGACCATCGCCTCCGTCACGGGTTCTTCGGAGGTGGCCTGAGGGGGGGGGGGGGGAGAGAAAGAATTAATATAAAAAGAAAAGCTATGAGAGAAAAAAAAGAAGAGCAAAGGTATGTTGTGAAATAGAAACAAAGAAAAGAGAAAGAAAGAATTACTATAAAAAGAAAAGATATGAGAGAAAAAACGATGAGAAAAGGTATGTTATGAAATAGAAATAAAGAAAAGAGAGAGAAAGAATTGATATATTGAAAGGCTTTATGAGAAAAAAACGATGAGAAAAGGTATGTTATGAAATAGAAATAAAGGAAAGAGAGAAAGAAATTGATAAAAATAGAAAGGGTATAAGAGAAAAAAAACGATAGAAATAGAGAAAAGGAGATGATGCATACACACGTACATACTGCACATACATACATACATATACACGCATTTTTTTAATATACATGGTATGCGTGTGCGTGGCCTTGCGTATGCTTGTGTGTGTGTGGTGTGCGTGTGCGTGTGTTTTCGTGTGTGTGTGAGTGTGATGAATTGCAGATTTCCATGCAGGGAACTATCATTTCACCGACATAGAATAACGTTTCCCTTTATTAAAGAAATATATATTTAACCTTTATTTAAAAAAACACACACATTTATATCATCAGAATGTGTGATTATATGCACGTATGTGTAAAGAATGATGTGATTGCGTGTGTGTCTATATATACAATATAAAACAGTCAGACAATACAGGAAATTACCGATCAGGTGCGCCGAGAGAAACAAAAAGAGAGAGAGAGAGAAGAGAGAGAGAGAGAGAGAGATGAGTGTGTGGTGTGTGTGTGTGTGTGTGTGTGTGGTGTGTGTGTGTGTGTGTGTGTGTGTGTGTGTGTTGTGTGTGTGTGTGTGTGTGTGGTGTGCGTGTGCGTGTGCGTGTGCGTGTGCGTGTTGTGCGTGTGCGTGTGCGTGTGCGTGTGCGTGTGCGTGTGCGTGTGCGTGTGCGTGGGCGTGGGCGTGGGCGTGGGCGTGTGTGTAAGCGTATGCGTATACGTTTCGTATATTCGTATTGTATGTGTATGTGTAGTGCAATGCATCTGTATGTGTATCTAAATGCATATGCGTGTGTGTATCTGTATGTATTGAGTATGTACATCTGCACGCGTATACGTATGGGCGTATGCGTATTCGTATATGCATCTGGTGTATCTGTATGTGTGTGCAAATGCATCTGTATGTGTATCTAAATGCATATGCGTGCGTGTATTTGTATGTATATGAGTATGTACATCTGCACGCGCATACGTATACATACCTATCTGTGTACATAACCATGCGTCCACGCGTCCGAATGCGCGCTCGAATAACCACCAAACATTGACAAAAAAAAAATCTCCACAGTACCCCCAAAATACCACCACCACATCCGAACATTTCCCCGACGACTTACCCAATCAGCCTCCCTCTTGGCACGACCCGGACGACCGCTCTTGATGAACTCTACGAAGTCGTACTGGGTGATAGACGGAGCCACGTTGCGGCGTCCGAAGATGGCCAAGTGCGCCGAGCGGGGAACGGTGAGGTTGAATCTGGAAGGGAGAAGGAAATGAAAATTAAGAGGCGAAAGAGGGAAGGGGAGAGGTATGAGAGGAGGGGGGGGGAGGAAGGAAGGGGGGGATAATGGAGGGGGGGTGAGGGAGGGAGGGAGAGAGGGAGGTATGGAGGGGGGGAGGGAGGGAGGGAGGAGGGAGGAGGGAGGAGGGAGGGAGGGAGGGAGGGAGGGAAGGAAGGGGATAATGGGGGGGAGGGAGAGAGGAAGGGAGGGAGAAAGAAAGACAGACAAATTGACAAATAAATAAGAAAAGAGATGAAGTAAAAATAAATTTAAGACAATGGTGCATGACAAAACATAACTTGAAATAACGAAAGGAAAATAAAGAAACAAGAAATAGACAAATGGATAAAATAAATAAGGAAACACAAAGAAAAAATAAGACAACCGTGCATGACAAAACTTAACTAGAAATAACGGAAAAACAAGAAATATACAAATAGACAAAATACATAAGGAAACAGACAAAGAAAAAAATAAGACAATCGTACATGATAAGACATAACAAATAACGAAAGGAAAAAACAAAACAAGAAATAGACAAATAAACAAAATAAACAAGGAAACAGACAAAGAAAAATTAATAAGACAACCGTACATGACAAGACATAACAAATAACGAAAGCGAAAAAAAACGAAATAGACAAATAAACAAAAATACGGAAACAGACAAAGAAAAAAAACAACACAACCTTACATAACAAAATATCATTAAAATAACAAAAGAAAAGAAAAAAAAATAAACCACCACTTGTTCTGCATCAATACTTCACAAGATCGGACGGTCTGATTCCAAACTTAATTAAGGCGATAAATTAATCAACCGTATGTCCTTAATCCGCGTCTTATCAGTCACCAATCTGATTAACCGTCAGTAATGAAATCAATAATCAGTGCAACGTTTCGCTTATTATTTATGGATTTAGTAAAAGATTCACTAGTCATTTACCTTTGAGAAAAGTAATGACACTTTGACTGTTTTTTAAGTGTTCCTCTGTATTATATTTGCTTATCTATAATTATAGAAAAAATCATAGTAGTAGTATCATTATTATTATTTATATCATATATTATATTAATTATTATTATTATTATTATTATTATTATTATTATTTTATTTATAATTTCATTATCATTATTCATTATCATTATTATTCATTATTATTATTATTATTATTATTATTATTATTATTATTATTATTATTATTATTATATATTATTATCATTATCTTATTATTATTATTATTATTATTATTATTATTATTATTATTATTATTATTATTATTATTATATTATTATTATTATTATTATTATTATTATCATTATTATTATCATATTATTATTATTATTATTATTATTAATTATTATTATTATTATCATTATTATCACTATTATTAGCATTATTATTACTATTGTTATTATCATTTATTATTATCATCATCATTATTATGATTATCATTAATATCATCCTCATTGTCATCATTATTATCATTATCATTATTATCAATATAAAACTGATAACTATCATAATAATAATAATAATAATAATAATAATAATATAATAATAATAATATAATAATAATAATAACAATAATAATAATTATAATAAAACAAATTAACATCAAAATAACAACAATTATAAAATAATAACAATATAACAACAACAACAATAATAACATGACATGATACAACAAGAATAACAATAATGATAATAACGATAATAATAGCAATAATGGCTTCGATAACAACAATAACAACAAGAATAACAATAATGATAATAACGATAATAATAGCAATAATGACTTCGATAATAACGATAATCATCCTTATCACCATTATCATTGCCATCATAAAAAAGAGGCGAATAAAGGCTTATATAAGATTACCTTAAAAACCGAGAAGTTAAAAATACAGAGCAGAAAATTACCGGCAAAGGTTAGTTAATCTTTTTCAATAATTAATTAGCAGAAAATGAAGCCGAGTTCATTTGCCGATACTTATGCAATCAAACCAGTTTCATCTCTTGTTAGAAATGCCACTCGCCCGCCGCACGCACGCACGCACGCAAGCACGCACGCACTCTCTCTCTCTCTCTCTCTCTCTCTCTCTCTCTCTCTCTCTCTCTCTCTCCTCTCTCTCTCTCTCTCTCTCTGTGTGTGTGTTGGTGTGGTGTGTGTGTGTGTGTGTGTTGTGTGGTGTGTGTGTGTGTGCGTGTGCGTGTGCGTGTGGCGTGTGCGTGTGCGTGTGCGTGTGCGTGTGCGTGTGCGTGTGCTGTGCGTGTGGCGGTGGTTGCGTGTCGTGTCGTGTGCGTGTGCATGGCATGTGCATGTGCGTGTGCGTGTGCGTGTGCGTGTGCGTGTGTTGCGTGGTGTGTGTGTGTGTGTGTGCCTGTGCGTTGTGTGCGTGGAGCGGGTTTTGTGCAAATATTGCGTGAATTTATTATTCTAATTTCTATCATGTCTGTCTTTCTATTTGTATATCTATCTTGTCTTCTTCGTTTGATATTTTGTTTTTCTATTTTTTTTTATTTTTCTCTATTCAGTCCAATTTCCTTTTACCTATACCTCACCTTTAATCCTATCCTATATCCTTACCCTATATACCTACCCCTATTATCCTATTTATCCAATACCCTTCCTACTTACCTACCCTACCTACCTAGCTACCTACCTACCTACCTACCTACCTACACCTACCTACCACCCTCCTGCCTCCCCTGCCTCCTGCCTACCCTCCCTGCCCTCCCTGCCTCCCCTCCTCCCTCTCCCTATCCCTATCCCAATCCCTATCCACATCCACACCTACACCTAGGCCTAACCACTCACCCGTCCATCCCATATCACCCTCCCCCCAAAAAAAAAAAAAAAAAAAGAAACATGTACCTCATGAACATCAGCTGTTTGACGTCGAACCTACCTACTTACCAACCTCCCTACCGACCTCCCTATCCACAATCCACACCTACACTAGGACTAACCACTCCACGCCGTCCATCCATATCACCCCCCCCAAAAAAAAAAAAAAAAAAAAAAAACATGTAACCTCATGAACATTCAGCTGTTTGACGTCGAAACCTACTACTTACCAACCTCCTACCGACCTCCCCATCCCACTACACTAGGCCTAACACACTCCACCCTCCATCCATTATCACCTCCCCCCCCCCCCAAAAAAAAAAAAAAAAAAACATGTACCAATGAACATCACTGTTTGACGTCGAACCTACCTACTTACCACCTCCCTACCGACCTCCCTATCACATCCACACCTACACCTAGGCTAACACCCACTCACCCGTCCACCATATCACCCCCCCCCCAAAAAAAAAAAAAAAAGAAAAAAAACATGTACCTCATGAAACATCAGCTGCTTGACGTCGAACCTACTACTTACCAACCTCCCTACCTACCTACCTATCCACATCCACATCCACAACTACACACTCGCCGCCCAACACATCACCCAACCGACATAAAAAAAAAAAGAAAAGAAAAGAAAAAGAAAAAAAGAAAAAAAAAAAAAAAAAAAAAAAAAAAAAGAAAAAAAAGGAAAAGAAAAGAAAAGAAAGAAAAGAAAAGAAAGAAAAAAGAAAAGAAAAGAAAAGAAAAGAAAAGAAAAGAAAAGAAAAAAAAGAAAAGAAAAGAAAAGAAAAGAAAAAAAAAGAAAAGAAAGAAAAAAAGAAAAAAAGAAAAAAAAAAAAAAAAAAGAAAAGAAAAAAAGAAAAAAAAAAGAAAAAAAAAAAAAAAAAACACGTACCTCATGAACATCAGCTGCTTGACGTCGAACTGCGCGTTCCAGTAGCCTCGCGGGGGAATCTTGTTCACGTACCGGCGGTTCAGCTCCCGAAGGCGGGTCAGTTCGGTCGTTCCTGCGTCGGTTTTCGGGGCTCGGGCCAGGGTGGTCGTCAGCGGGGGGAGTAAGCTGTGAGGGGAGAAGAAGAGGAGAGAGATAAGTAAGGGTGGGGGGAGAAGAAGAGGAGAAGAGATAAGTAAGGGTGTGAGAGGAGAGAGATAAGTGGTGGGGGGGAGAAGAGAGGAGAGAGATAAGTAAGGGTGGGGGGGAGAAGAGAGGAGAGAGATAAGTAAGGGTGGGGGGGAGAAGAGAGGAGAGAGATAAGTAAGGGTGGGGGGAGAAGAGAGGAGAGAGATAAGTAAGGGTGGGGGGGGAAAGAGAGGAGAGAGATAAGTAAGGTGGGGGGGAGAAGAGAGGAGAGAGATAAGTAAGGGTGGGGGGGAGAAGAGAGGAGAGAGATAAGTAAGGGTGGGGGGGGGAGAAGAGGGAGAGAATAAGTAAGGGGAGAAGAGAGAGAGAGATAAGTAAAGGTGGGGGGAGAAGAGAGAGAGATAAGTAAGGGTAGAGACGGGGGGGAGAGAAGAGAGGAGAGAGATAAGTAAGGGGGGGGGAGAAGAGAGGAGAGAGATAAGTAAGGGTGGGGGGGGGAGAAGAGAGGAGAGAGATAAGTAAAGGTAGGGGGGAGAAGAGAGGAGAGAGATAAGTAAGGGGGGGGGGAGAAGAGAGGAGAGAGATAAGTAAGGGTGGGGGGAGAAGAGAGGAGAGAGATAAGTAAGTGGGGGAGAAGAGAGAGAGAAAGAGAAGAGAGAGAGAGATAAGTAAGGGTGGGGGGAGAAGAGAGGAGAGATAAGTAAGGGTGGGGGGAGAAGAGAGGAGAGAGATGGGAGGAGGAGAGAGATAAGGGTAGAGGGGGGGGGAGAAGAGAGGAGAGAGATAAGTAAGGTGGGGGGAGAAGAGAGGAGAGAGATAAGTAAGGGTGGGGGGGAGAAGAGAGGAGAGAGATAAGTAAGGTGGGGGAGAAGAGAGGAGAGAGATAAGTAAGGGTGGGGGGGGAGAAGAGAGGAGAGAGGGTGGGGGGGAGAAAGAGAGGAGAGAGATAAGTAAGGGTGGGGGGGAGAAGAGAGGAGAGATAAGTAAGGGTGGGGGGAGAAGAGAGGAGAGAGATAAGTAAGGTGGGGGGAGAAGAGAGGAGAGAGATAAGTAAGGGTGGGGGAGAGAGAGAGGAGAGAGATAAGTAAGGTGGGGGGGGAAAGAGAGGAGAAATAAGAGGGTGGGGGGGGAGAAGAGAGGAGAGAGATAAGTAAGGGTGGGGGAGAAGAGAAGGAGAGAGTAAGTAAGGGTGGGGGGAGAAGAGAGGAGAGAGATAAGTAAGGGTGGGGGGAGAAGAGAGGAGAGAGATAAGTAAGGGGAGGGGGAGAAGAGAGGAGAGAGATAAGTAAGGGTGGGGGGAGAAGAGAGGAGAGAGATAAGTAAGGTGGGGGGAGAAGAGAGGAAGAGAGAATAAGTAGAGAAGAGAGGAGAGAGTAAGTAGGGTGGGGGGAGAAGAGAGGAGAGAGATAAGTAAGGGTGGGGGGGAGAAGAGAGGAGAGAGATAAGTAAGGGTGGGGGGGAGAAGAGAGGAGAGAGATAAGTAAGGGTGGGGGGGAGAAGAGAGGAGAGAGATAAGTAAGGGTGGGGGGGAGAAGAGAGGAGAGAGATAAGTAAGGGTGGGGGAGAAGAGAGGAGAGAGATAAGTAAGGTGGGGGGGGGAGAAGAGGAGAGAGGATAAGTAAGGGTGGGGGGGAGAAGAGAGGAGAGAGATAAGTAAGGGTTAAGTAAGGTGTGGGGGGGAGAAGAGAGGGAGAGATAAGTAAAAGAGAGGAGAGAGATAAGTAAGGGTGGGGGGGGTTGGGTTTTTTGGGGTTGGTGGGATGGGGTGTGGGTTGGGGTGGGTAGGGTGTAGTGGGTTTGTGGGCTGTGGGCGTCGATTCATTTATTTTATTTATTTATTTATTTATATAGGACCGGGGAGCATGTGTGCCGATTTTTTTTTTTTTTTTTTTTTTTAAGGGGAGTATATTAATAGAGTTAGGGTAACTAGTTGGAAACATGTTTGATTGTTCTTTTATACAATTTTTAAAGGGACTGTACCCAATGTCAAGTGAACATAAAATGGTTAAATACCATCTAAAATAGTCTTATGAATCCTTCGTTATATCATTAGAACAATAAACATGTTCTAACAACTCCCTTTTTCTCTCCCTCTCTCTATAACCTTTAACTCTATAGTCTCTAACCGATCATAAACAACCAAACAAAACAAACAAGCAAACACCCCGTTGTCAGCGCATGTCCGACGCAAACCACCTACCAAAACCAGCCGGCGCGCGACCGAAGTCCAAAAAGGAAACACGCGCTCACGGAATGCAAGAGAAAGTCCAAGATCAAAGGCACATTGTGACACCGACGCGGCCGCCCTAGAGGAGTCATATTTCCCAAATTTCAT